TATTCATCTCGGAAGTTCTAAGGCCTCAAAATACTCTCGCGCCGAGTCGGCTGTTCCTCGCTCCACTACTCTGGAGCATTCTTCGACGGTTCTTTTGCCCCTTGCTCCTTGAACTGAGTCCGCTCAACTTGGAATTCTCGGCCAACTCTCTGCCTACCTGTCAGCTGTCCTTCCCAATGTTTATTTGTGCCGTCGCAGTGTGGAATCCAGAGTCGGGTCTCGGCACTTCGCTTGTTCCCAGCGGACAGGTAATTTCAAGAAACAGTCGAGCAATTGCTCTCGCGGTCGGAGTCTCCGTCCTTGGATTAAGAATCTGTATTCCTGAGATTCACTTTGACCCCTGAAGCAAACGACTCGAACTTGTTCGTATTTTTGACTACCTATGCAGCCCTCCAATCTCGAGTCAGTTGTGCCTGTCAGTCTTCGCAGTATAAATGCTCCTCTTTGGGATCTTCTACATCTTCGCACTGGGAAATCCGGGCTCGGGGCTCGGGCCTCGTTCAGTCTTCCCGCCAGAAAGCACAGGAAAGAAAAAGCAGCCTGGCCACACTTTACTTTGACAAGCGATCGTCGCTTTGGTTTGCCCTCGACTGTTCCGACCGGACTTGGGGAGGTGTATTCATGGTCATCTCCGCAGCCTTCGACGGCGATAATCTCTCCCAACTACCATCTCTCCCTACTACAACCGCCAATCTGTAGGGCCCCAGCTTATACTTATTGCACCGAAGATCCCCGTACTTATACCCCTACGTCGCGTTCCATTCCACATATCACGCCGGGGCCCGGCTCAGCTGGTCGCCCCAACAAAAATACTCCCCGGAACTCGTTCTCTTCCAAATCGAAGAATTACCTTTGTGAGAGCCCGCGACGCGGACTCGTATTCCTGCCCGCCTCCGCGGCTTTGAATACTCGGCAACTTCTATGTTGTGACTGGCAACTGGTCGCAACAGAAATCCTCAACTTTAGGCAGATTCTTCGATGACGTCGCACTGGGACTCCAGACGTCTCGACCCTCCTCCGTTCCTCCTTGTTGGAACCTCAACTATTCTGGTCAGGGGCATGAAAATACCTTCGGATCAGGAATCCAGACTCGGGCCTCGACTTTCGTTTGTTCCCAGAAGAAACATAAACAGTCCGGGAATTTTGCAACGTCATTTTTATTAACGATCGCGGTGTTACTCCTAGCTGACCCTGGTTTAGATTCTAAAACCTCGACTATTTGAACCAAGATTTGAACGGAATCTGGAATCTGTTATTTTTCAACTCAGCGATTCTTCATCACTTTAGCACACGACTCGAACCATCTCCGCGGCCTCCACCAGCCGACTGGGACCGATCTGCATCGCGAAGCCCCCGTGGCCGCCCTCCGTTCACACGGCGCCGAGGATCGCCGCGCCCCGCTTGCAGACGGCCTTCCGATTCGCGTTCAACTTCCATTCCATTCCACATGTCATGCGCGCGGCCGCTCTCCAACCCTCCAGCCCGCCAAAGTCTCCGCACCCGACAGCCTTCAGACAGCCGACGACGCAGATCACCTTCTCCTTCCAGCGAATCGCTATAAAAAGACGCAGCGTACCCACACCCACGCCCCCGTCCACGTGGCGCCGCTGCCCGTGTAAATCCTCGACCAGTGTGAACGAAAGCCGCAACGGGTGCGAATGCAGAGAGCCTATTCGACAGTGCGATCTGCACGACGTCTCTACACCGGGCTCCGGATCGCCCTGCCATTGCACGCTCCAAGTATAGCGCACTCTGCACGCGCGAGCCGTGACCCGCGCGCAATGTCCGCCGCCCGCAGCAAAGTCGCCACGCCCCCGCCGTGCCGCGCCGCACGTATCACCGCACCCCGCAACGTGCCTCTATGCCCATAGTGCCGCATCACGCTCCGAACTTCGAAGCACCAGGCCCGCTGACCTTGCGCTGGCCGGCGCTCCACAGCGCCTTCAAGCAAGTTCACATGGCCGCGCCTTCGCACACGCGCCAATCAAGCGGGCTGGCTCGTTCGCTTGTCGAAGCACTGGCAGCACCTAGACCGCGGCCACAATCAGCGCTCCGCCGCCCGAACGGCGAAGATTATTCGCATCTGTCTCTACTCAAAGGATCCATCTATCTGTTTGGAGCGTATCACTATTGAGGCGTATCAACGTCTGGGGAAGTCGATGCGGCGGGCTATGCACGACGGACTGGCTCGCTGCTCCGCCTCGTTCATCAACGCAAGACAGCGTCCGCTCATCAACCAAGCAAACGAGCGAACGAACGAAAATTTAATCATCTGACGGACGACACGCCCGTTAATGTAAGTCGTATCGGCATGGCGTGTCGGTTTATTTCTTGCGGCGAGGCAGATTTTGTGCGCGACGCCCGCACCGCGTGGGGCGTCGGGAAGAAGACACGCCCGCGACGGCGCCGAGCGCTCGTCGGGCGTGAGCTTCTCCCGAGAAAATCTCCCCGCGTCGAAATGATTACCATACCAGAGCGAACCACCGAACTGAAACAAGGCAGCATTAGGATCAGAGAAGAAAAAGATCGGCAAAATTCAAAGAAAATACACGAGACTGCCAAACGTGCCACTACCACGTGATCGCGTGTCGGTGATGTCAACCACACAGCAACAAAGCGCAACTCAGACTCTTCCCACAACCTTCATCAGTACGTACGGCTCCGAGTGAGTCCGCGTCGACACACGGCGCTAAATCTGAGATACACAGAACAGAACGATGAATCCCCTGCACATTCCGGAAATCGTAGATCACTGTGTCGGTTTCCTCGCTCAACCCGATCTGTGTTCATGCGCCCTCGTCAGCCGGTCCTGGGTATATCTCGCACAATCACATCTTTTCAGCGAGATAATCATCGAGGCCTCGCTCTCACTCTTCGACCTCCGAGCCCCGCCTTTGCTCGATGTCCTGGAGGCCTCCCCGCACCTCGCCGGCTACATATTGACGCTCTACAACGAGGAGCCTCTCAGTCCGCACGATTACCTGCGCCTGGGCAATATACCATGCACCCGACTGTCTTCTCTGCACATCGGTCGTTACAGCACCCTGCCTTCCGAGGGTGCCGTTGCCATACAACAGCTCCTCAGTCTTCCCGCCCTGGTTTCTGTTGTCCTCAAGTGCACATTTGAGACCAGAGATCAATTCCTACGAATATGGAAACACTGCTCCCCAAGTATCAAGCATCTTTCATTGATCTCTCGATTTGACAACCAGACGGCGCCGTTGGTTGACCCAGGCCATGCATCCACTGGCAGCCGTCACATCATGCTAGATTCCTTCCAGACGGACAGTATCGGAAATGTCCAGTGGTGGCTCAATGATTCTCGCTGTCCATTGAATTTTTCTGCTCTCAAGGCTCTAAAGTACGCTAAAGGTCCGGACTTTGTCCCGTTCGGGAGGTTGTCACAGGCACTTAAAACGGTCGAGGTGCTCACTATGGGCGTATGTACTTCTGGTCTCTCTATGACACCCAGCTGATCTCAGATTCTTGTAGTCCCAGAGCGCCGACCTCTCAGCCTTCGAACGTCTCACCGATCTCCGACTGCTGGTCCACCGCCTCACCCCATTCTTACCCCTCCGGACGCTCCCCACTATCCACCCGGCGAGCCGGGCGCGCCTCCGCGTCCTCCGGTTCAATTTCATTATCGCGCCATACCGCGACACCCCTCGGGCGCCCCTCCTCGCGCTCTGCGGGCAGGTCGACCGTGCGCTCGCTGACCTGCCAGCGCGGGACCACTTTCCCAACCTCGCGCTCGTGCATATCACGGTCATCGCAGCGACTCCGGCCCTCACAATGGGCGCTGATTCGGAGGACTATTTCTCCCTCCTAGACCCAGGGATCGAATTGCAGTGGAGTACGCACTTCATTCAATGTATGATCTGTCGTTATAAAGCTTCTCTCTTCCAGATTTCCGCCCGCAAGCAGCGGCCCCTTGGTATAAGAGCATCGCGTGACGATTGGTTGGTTACATTGCATGGTTCAGATCCAAATTTTCCTCATTATGAAACAATGTACATTGGAAACTCTTGTGAAACCGGGGCTTTAGCTCGCCAGTGCAGGGAAATTAATGCAGTAGCCAACGTTTTAGGCAAAGTTTTGATGCCTGATTTCAACTAAGATGAAGATTGACGGGATGGTACCGAGTTATATGCCATGCCAGCCCTCCATATTAGGGTCTACCAAATCCCATTCTAATCGTCTGGCCAACTTATTTCCTCGAAATCTCACCAAATTGAATCGCCGTGGTTTCCGTTGTGACGCAGGATCCTCACCCCAGCGCTCAAGACAGTCCAACTATTTGTCATGGCTTTACGTACTGTAACGTACATCTCCCTTTGCAAATTGGTCCCAAGTCAATGTTGAATACTACTTCCAGTCCGGCAATTTTGATCTCTCAATCTTCGAGCAACTGGCCGAACTCCTCTTAGGCTTGTTGTTTATCCGAGTCGTTCCCGATACGCATTTCGCCTTTCAAGCAATTCGAATCAATTCATCTGCACCAGCGCTTCCACCGCCGTGCCATGCAGTTCCGGCTCGTGGCCACCAGTTTTAGCATCTTCGTTTCGCCTTGGACGGAGCTCTAGACATTAGGATATCTGAGCTTTGCGAGCAATCTACCAGCCTGGCGATTGTGCATCTCATTCTCAGAAAATGCATTGACGATGGTTGGTGAGCATTATTTTTTAATGAACGAGCTGATTGTCTATACCAGTTGCTTTCAGCCCACGTTTAATCACCCAACTTACACCACACAGATAGGCAGCCGATACACCCGATTCCCCGCCCGGCAAAAATGATTCATAGCACGAACAACCATGCACCAGCAGGGAATCGAACCCCAGACTCAATCTTACTCATTCTTCCGATAGAACATGAGTTGATTGTGTGGACCATACACCACTGGTGCTCTGCAACTGCCAGTTTACATCGTCCATTTAAACGACACGGGAGTTCCTGATGGCACGGGCAGTCAAAAAAATGGACTGGACCCTAAACCATTATGCACCGGCGGGGAGTCAAACCCCGGACACACATAATTTTACTCATTCTTTGCATCCAACATGAGTTGATTGTGTGTACCATACACCACCGGTGCTCTTCAACTCAAGGTTTCATCCTTAACTTATACTGCACAAAAATTGTTGCTGGCCATTGATCCTGGCGGTCAAAAATGGGATTTCAAAACCACAACTATGTACCGGGGGAGTCAAATCCAGGAGTCAATCTTATTCATCGCGATTGACTCGATTATATGAAGGAACTGTATTTACTGTAAACCACAGGTTCTCTTCACCTGCATGGAACTCCCTTGATTTCAAACCACACAAAAAAGGGATCAGCAGCCTAGGGACAGAACCAAGTCCAAACAATGCACTCTACTTACACCACACAGATAGGCAGCTTCTGCACCTGATTTCCCGCCAGGCAAAAAATGGTTCATAGCACGACCAATAATGCACCAGCAGGGAATCGAACCCCAGGCCAATCTTACTCTGCTTTGATTTCCAGCATATGAGTGGACGGATTGTGGACCATACACCACTGGTGCTCTGCAACTTCGTCCATTTAAACGGCACGGGAGTCCCTGATGGCACGGTCAGCCAAAAAAAATGGACTGGACCCTAAACGATCATGCACCGGCGGGGAGTCGAACCCGGAACTCAATCTTACGCATTCTCTGCATCAATATGAGTTGATTGTGTGTGCCATACACCACCGGTGCTCTTTATCCCAGGTCCATACCTTGATTTATACCACATGAAAAGAGGTTAGGCATCGTCAATTTAGATCGCCAAAAAGAGTTTTAAAAATCACCATCACGCACCAGCGGGGAGTTGAACCCCGGGCTCAATCTTGCTTACTTTCCCAGACTTCCAGCTCAGCAGTGGATTGTGTGTGCCGTACACCACTGGTGCTTTCATCTCAAGTTTGCACCTACCACTTGATTCACACAAAATTGGTGGAGTTGACACCTGATGTTCTGGGGCTAGACTTGACATGCCCTGACTGAGGATTCAGAGAGCTCAAGTTTGTTGAGTGTGCCCCACCAGTCCTTTTAAATCTAAGTTTACTCCCTTGTCAATATTCCACTTGTGTCTCACACACCATGCGTGGAACAAGCACCATTGTGACTTGAACTCACATTCACTGAATTTTGGTTCATTCATTGCTCTAGCTAGCTCGATCTAATGACCTGAGTTGATTGTGTATCCTGCCTTTTGAGCAGTATCGCTATACCAAATGAATCAGTCCGATTCAGTCGTATGAGCAAAGAAGAAGAAAAGTCCCGCATCACTAAGACCAACATGCCCTCGGGCCTGAGGTGGGCTCGCATGCATTGCTTTAGGTATCTCCTCGATAAATAGTTAATTCAAAAGAGGCGAGGAAAAAACCAAACTGGGCCAGGACAAGTGCACCTTCGGGGGTTCGAACCCCGGACTCAGCCTGACTGTTCATTCATTTTAACATAATAGAAGACTGCGTGTTACCGCTACACTAAGGGTGCATGATCCTCATGTGCCAGGATTCACATGAGGTCATGAGGTGGAATGTCGATGGTTTGGACTGCGACCAACTTGGTGAGAAAAAAGAACAGACCAGCGAAAGAATAGAATAAGAAGCCCGATGGGAAGAAAAACAATGTCCACACAGCAAATGCACCCTCGGGGGATCGAACCCCGGACCCAGCCCTAACATTTCGTGGGAGTCTCAATAGTCGAAGGCTGTGTGTTACCGTTACACCAAGGATGCTTGATGTGTTGGCACATTGGCTGGTACACCTAACCTCGGACAGGGGAAGAGCAGACAAAAAAGAGCAGGGGGGCGAAAATAAGAGTAAGAGTAAGAAAAATGAAAAACAAAAGAATACCCAGACATATGCCATGCGTCCTCGGGGGTTCGAACCCCGGACTCAATCTTATTCTTATCCTACGACATCTGGATTAGCAGATTGTGTGTTACCACTACACCAAGGACGCTTTCTTGCATGCAGCAGGTTACATAGTGCAACAGGAGAGTGTGGTTTCCAGATTGAGACAGGCCGGCGAAAAGCAAAATCAAAAGAGAAGGAGAACAAGGATGAGTAAGAGAACAGAAAATGAAAAGAATGCCCAGACATATGCCATGTGTCCTCGGGGGCTCGAACCCCGGACTCAATCATATTCTTATCCTACGACATCTGGATTAGCAGATTGTGTGTTACTGCTACACCAAGGACACTGCACAGACTGTGTGCATTGACTACTCTGAGATATGTTGAATGAGACTAACCCTCGAACCATGGCAGAGGAAGATCAGCACCAAGAGAACAGAGAAAACAAAAGGAGCAAAAGTACTATAGAGGCAGAATGGGTCCTCGGGGGGGACGAGCCCCGGACTCCACCTCGGAAGAACTCAATGTGTCGATTTCAGGGCAGGGTGTTACCGTTACACCAAGGACACTTTCTTACCTCCTGCAACACACATGTACAGTGTGAAAGGACCTTGGACAGACAGGCCGGGGGAAGAGCAGACAAAAAAGAGGAGAACAAAAATAAGAGTAAGAGTAAGAAAAATGAAAATGAAATGAATGCCCAGACATAAACCCCGGACTCAGCCTAAACTGGAACTTCTACCTGAATAGTAGGAGGCTGTGTGTTACCATTACACCACGGACACTTGATCTTTTCACCCTATTTGAACAGGTGGAGATTGAGATGGGCCGGCGAAAAAAAAGAGGGAGAATGAGGAGTAAAAGTGGTTGAAAATGAAGGAAAAGTAAAAGTGAAAGTGAAGGGAAAAAAAACACTTGGAACTGGCACGCGTCCTCGGGGGGTCGAACCCCGGACTCAATCTCAAATCCATATCCGATTATGTTATTAGAAGATTGCGTGTTGCCGCTACACCACGGATGCTTGCCCTCCTTCGGATGTTGAGATACTTTGATTGAGACTGACCCTCGAACCGTGACAACGACGGATGAGCACAAGGGAAAAAGATCAGAACAAGAGAGGAAAGAAGAGAACAGAGCAAGCAAAGGCGCAAAAAGTACTGTTGATACAGCATGCACCCTCGGGGGCTCGAAAAAAAGGCACAAGAGAGCGCGCATAGGAGCAATATTCAAAGATGGTGTGTTACCGCTACACCAAAGACGCTTGATCTCTTCACCACATTTGAAGAACACGGGTGCAGATTCAGACGGGCCGGGGAAAAATATATGGGAGCAAGAAAAAGAGCAGGAGAATGACAGCAAGAAAGAGAGAAAAAGCTGGGCAAATGGCACATGCGTCCTCGGGGGCTCGAACCCCGGACTCAGCCTAAACTGGAACTTCTGCCTGAATAGTATGAGGCTGTGTGTTACCGCTACACCAAGGACACCCGATCCCTCTACCACATTTAAATAACACGGAGGTGTAGATTAAGACGGGCTGGCAAAACGACACAGCAAAAGAAAAAGATGAGTAAAAACAAAAAGAAAAGTATGAGTAAGAAAGAAAAAATGCTCAGACATATGCCGTGCGTCCTCGGGGGTCGAAGCCCGGACTCAGCCCGACTGTTCATTCATTTTAACATAATATAAGGCTGTGTGTTGCCGCTACACCAAAGATGCTTGCCCTTGCCCTCTACATGAATTGACTGATACACCTTGACGGAGGCGGAGCGGCGAAGAACAGAATCAAGAGAGAAAGAAAACACCAAATGGCAAAAAAAAACGAGAAGGCTTGATAGCTCAGGAGAACATGCGTCCTCGGGGGGTCGAACCCCGGTCTCGGCCTAGTCTCCCTAGTCAGACCATATATATATATTTTTGGGTGAGGAAAAAAACTGATATATGGTCTGATTTCATTGGCGCATCCCAAACCGTAGGTCGGCATTCCCGATTAGGACATTCCCAATTGGGAAAGCCGTACTAGAATTCAGGGAGACTCTGGTGCGTCGTGGTGGTGTAAAAATAACATAGACTAACTTTCTAAGGTATACGGTCCTCAAAACTCACCGTTAACTCAAAAACTGGGAGCATGGTGCATGTTTTACTTTGCCGTCGTGTGGCTGTGCACGAAATTCCCACAACAAAAATTTCAGTTTCTGAAGGCAGCACAAAAGGATAAATCGAACAAAAAATACAGGTAGATACCTAGGCATACGATCCAAAATTCTATCTACTCCAAAGAGTGTATACACTCACCATAGCCACAGGGCCAAGGCTGCGGCGGAAGGTTGACCTACGGTTATCACCTGACATGTGAAACTAGACTAGTCTCGGCCTGCACTCAGTTGTTATCATGAATACAAGAGCTGTGTGTTACCGCTACACCAAAGACGCTTTCTTTGCTTTGGCAAGTTACTGCCATAGTCCAAAAGTGACATAGAGTGAGAGTAGAAGAGCACCAGAGAAAAAGCACAGGAGAGAGAAAACAGGAGAAGGAATAAAACGAAGAGAAGGAGAAGGAGAAAGAAAAAACACTTGGAACTGGCAGATGCGTCCGCGGGGGGTCGAACCCCGGACCCAATCTCAAATCACTTCAAGGACGTACATGTCAGTAGAAGATTGTGTGTTACCGCTACACCACGGACGCGTCACCCCCCTTGCACGCTGATGTCGACATACCGAGTGAGTTTGGGTCGAGAGGGTTAGGAGGGCCCGGGGCTACGGGGTGCGGGTCCTACAGTACCAAATGCATGTATCATAAATAAATGCTTAGCCCGCCCGCCCGCCGCCGACACGTACGCGCGCGCGCCCGCAATCACTCTGCTCCTTAAGCTTTCTCCTTGTGTCCTTGTGTCCTTGGGCACGCATTGTAACCGCCCAGACTCGGAGACGTAAATATTAATAACGCGCCCCCGATCACACGCGGCGCGTTACGTGGTGCGCACCGGTGCCACGGCGACGTAACGTGCGGCGCCGGGGCACCGGTGCGCGACGGCGAGTGGCGGCGCGCCGATCCCCGAGGCGCGATCGAATGAATAGGATGACGCACGCACGTGGTTCGGTTCGGCGGCTTGGTTCGCCTGTCAGTGGGTGCGTGCGGAGCGGTTGGTGGCGGGACCCCGGGGAGCGCGGCGCTTCTTTGCGCCGTGATCGATGGCGTTGGGCCGCGCACAGGAAAGAGGGGCGTCCGACATGGCGTCAATCAGCGTACTAGGGAGATCCACGCCCGGCGATGGGCATCATCTGCGCCCCCCCCAAAAAAAACAAGGACAGGGAAACAAGGAGGGAAAAGATTGATGGGCAGCGGGAAGCGGGATTGGCTGCGATAACTCCGAGCCTCCGTGATGCGGCGCGCCACGCCTTCGTTCTCGGTAATAGTTTGCGTTGCGTTGGAGCGACTCGGAGGCAGGCTCGGCTTGCCGCTTCCCGCGCGGCCGCGTGCTGCATGCTGGCGGCAAGGCGCTTCTTTTCACGTCGGTCATAAGCGCAGCCTGCCCAGCCCCGCCTGCCTCCCCGCTTCTGCACTTTGATCCCTCCCTTTGCTTTCCCTCCGCGCATCTGCGCCCTCGACGCCGCCGCCCTTGCGACCAGACTACTTCGACGCCACGACAAGATGACCGACACGGGCGCCGCCGTCGCGCCCCCCGCCGCAGCCGTTGAGCGGCCCATACTAGACTTGAAAGACCGCGAGAACTTGAAGGAGCACTTGAAGGAGAAAGACGACGTGGCGATGAGCGACGCGGACGCCCCCGCCGAGCCCGACCCCGCCCTCGCGCCTGCGCCCGAAAAACACACAGACGAGCCCGCTGCCGCTGCCATTACCAACTCCACTTCCACCGCCGCCGCCGCCGCTCCCAACAACGCCACAACCACCACCACGCAGCCGCCGCCCCCCGCAGGCGCCAGCACGACCGCCGCGCACCTCGCGACGCTGCTCGCCGCCGCGCTCGCGGACGCGGACGCCCTGCGCGACGAGCTCGCGGCCGCCCGGAAGCGCGCCGAGCGCGCGGAGCGCCTCCTCGCGACGTTCGGCGCCGTCGCGGGCACGCTGGGCTCTGCTTCCGCGTCTTCCTCAGGGTCGACTGCTGCCGCTGCCCCCGGGTCTGGATCTGGATCGTCCGCTGCAACTGGACCCGGGGGCGCGGGAGCAGACGCCGCGCGCCCGGGCTCGTCGGGGTCGGGGACTGCGACTGCCCCGGGGACGGCGACGCCGAATGCCAGCGCGAATACGACAACGAGTGGAGGCGCGATACCTGGGGCAGGCGCGCTGCCGCAGGAGACGCTCGCGCTGCTCGTGGCGCTCGACGAGCGCACCGTGCGCGCGGAGCAGGCGCGGGACGAGGCTGTTGCGAGTGAGTGTCTTTCCCCCCCCGTCTATGCGTTCGCCTCCCCTTCGTTGCCTCTGTCCTTCCCGCTCCTCTTCTCCTTCCTACCTTCCTCCCATCCTCCTCTCCCTTCGTCCTTCGTCTTGCCGCGGTCACCGCTTTCTTTTTTATACCCCCCTTCTTCGCTCCGCCTGCCTTTCCTTTTCCTTCCCTCCCCCCGCGTCCCCCTCTTCCTTACACGTATACCGCCATTTTCCGGGCGCATACATCCACCGTCCTCGCTCGCTCCCTTCCCCTCGTTCGCTCCCTTTGTCTGCGCGCGCCGTCGTTCCTGTCGTCTGGCCTCCTTCCCTCTTCGTCTCCTTACCCCTCTTCGCCGCCTCCCTGCCCGCCCTCCCCGCCTTTTCCGCGCGCGTCCATCCACCTTTACCGCTCCTGCCCTTCTTCACTCCGTCCCTTCTCGGCTCCCTTTCGCCCCTCATGCCGTCCTTTCCTTTGCTTCCCTTGCCTTCCCCCCTCTTCCCTCCCGCCCGCGTCGCTCCTCGCTCGCCGCCTTTGTGGCGCACATACGCACCTTTGGGCGCACATACGCACCTATGGGCGCACATACGCACGTCTTGGGCGCACATACGCACGTCCCTCGCCCCCCACTCTCCTCCCACCGTCTCTTCTGCGCTCCTCCCGTCCTCCGTCCTTCTCTGTTCCCTGTTCTCTGTTCTCTCCTCCCCCCCCTCCTCCTGCCTTACGCCTCATCTCTATTCTGCTTCTGCTCTCTCTCCTCGTTCCGTATTCTTCATTCATGCTAACTCTCCCCCCCCCCCCCCCCGCAGGATCCCGCCTCCTCGCAGACAACTGGACGCAGCTCGCGTCCTACCTCGCCGTCGTCGACGCGCGCGCCGCCGACGCGCGCGCGGGCTTCGCGCGCATCGTCTCCGAGGGCGGCGGGCGCCTCGTTTTGGTCGACGTCCCGCTGCCCGCGTCCGAGCACCCCGCGTCGATTGGGGGTGGAGGGATGTACGCGGAGCCGGCGCACGTGTACGACGCGCCGCATTACGCAGGGGGGTATGGGGCGATGCCGCCCCCGCGCCGGGGGACGGCGTCGTCCGCGGCGCCGTTTAACGCGCTGCCGCTGCCGCCGCTGCCCGGCGCCGGGGCCAGTGGGTATGGGTACGGGCATGTAGGCGGGGGCGGGGGGAGTAATGGGAGGAGGCAGCGGGCGGAGAGCGGGGATTTGTATGCCGGTGGAGGGGGTGGGGGAGGGGGGTACCCGAATAAGCGGGCGAGGGGCGAGGGGGAGGGGGGGTATGAGGTTCGTGTCTCTGGTTTTCTCCTTCACTTTACGCCCCTGCCCGTTCCTTGTCCCCCGCGCCGCTTTCCTCTCCTTCCCCCTCCGTCGTCGTCCCCACCTCGGGGTATTTCACGTCACCTCTCCCCTCCCTTCCCCTTCTCCGTGCCCCCCGCCCCCTTCTCCCCCCTCCCCGCCTTGCTTTACATTCCCTCTTCCTCCGCCCGCCGTTTCTTGGCGCGCGTCTCGTCCGCGTCCCTTCCCTGCTCCCTGCTCCCCTATTTCCCCTCGCCTTCCACGCGGGCGTCCTTCCTTCCTTCCCTTTTTCCCTTCCTTCCCTTCCCTTTTCCGCCTATTCAAAACAACGCATGCTGACGCCCTTTTCCCCCCTAGTACCACCACCCGTCGTACCCCTACCCGCGCTACCCCGCGCCCTCCGCCTCGTCCAACCCCTCCGCGCACCCCGCCCCCGCGCCCTCCTCGGCCGGACGGCGGCAGCACACCCTCCCGTCCTCCGCGTCGTCCGCGCTGCACCACCACCGGGAGCTCGCGTCGCTGTCCCGCGGCGATCGGGGCGAGCGCGAAGGACGAGAGAGCAGGGAAGGGAGGGAGGGCAGGGAGAGGGAGCGGAGCGCAAGCACGGCGTCGGACGACGTCGACGAGATGTTGCTGGCGAGCGCGAACGGCTCGCCGCGCCCGCACCACCCCGCCGCGCACCCGCACCCGCACCCGCACCCGCACCCCCACCCTTCCGCGCCCCACGCCGCGGCGCACCACGCGCACGTGCAGCGCTCGCCGGAGTGGCGCACGTCTACCTCGGTAACCGACCGCCCGGAGCGCAGCGCGACCGGTATGAGCGAGAGGCCGGAGAGGAGCGCGACGGGCATGAGCGAGCGGCCGGAGCGGAGCGGTACGCTGGAGCGGGGCGGGACGCTGGGCGCGGGGGGCCCGGAAAGGAGCGGGAGCATGGGGGTCGGGGCGTATGTCGGGATGCCTGCGGCGCCGGGGAAGGGCGGGAAGGGGAAGGGTGCGTTTTTTTTTGTTGCGCTTTCTATCTATCTTGCGCTTTC